CCCCCCACCCCCACACACACACACACAAAGAGAGACTCAATATAAGACCATAGAAAGAACAGTTAAAAGAAAGAAAAAAGAAAAACTATAAAAGTGGAAAATTATTCCAAAAAAAATTAAAAACAGAAGGACGAAAATAAAGTACTGATTTAAGGGGACCTTTGTTCAAAGAGGTGACAGACAAAAGACAAAAGCAAGTCTCTTTTAAGTGACCTGACAATCACGTGATCTCTTCTCTGCCTACTCTTCTAGTACTGGTCTTTGATTCTTGATCCCCCCCTATTAACCCCCTCCCCCACCCCCACCAACAAGCCCATGCTGTTGTTTCCTCGTTTAAAGATTTGTTCCTCAAAATCCACGCGCTCACTTTGTTGTTGTCTCTTTTCTTGCTTTTTCCAACATTTGATTCTTTCTTCACTCCTCATTAGCTCTTCTCTCAAAGTTGAAACCTTTGTTGGAGTTTCTTCACTCCCCAGATCTCCTTCTGTAGTTGAAGGTATGTTAATCTTAATCACTTGTTTAGTAATATTGTGCTGTGTATTTGTCCTTGTAATTCTTGATTATGCCCTTTTCTGGCTTAATGAAGTTGAAATTTTGTGTCCTTGTAATTACAGCTTATTTTTAACTCTTGGTGTTATTTTTCTTGGAAAGTTTTTCTGCACATTCTTGGGGACGGGGTATTTGATCATTGGCTTAGCCTGTTGTTTTTATTTTATTTTCTTTGCCTTCTTTTGGTGTTTATTTATGCATGATTACGTCTTCTCTGTTTTATAATTAATGATCTTGGTCTTCACCCTTTTAAGCCTCTGGTTTTCAGAAAGTTTTCTTCTTTATTTTTAATTAAAAGAAACTTTTATTGCCCTTTCTGGTTGGTGGGATGATTTTTCTTAACTGCATTTTGGTTTTGGCTTGAGTTCTGAGTTGTTCTATGTATGTTGCTAATTTTGGGTGTGTTGGGTTCTTTTGTCCTTCCTGTATCACTGAGAAAATTTACTTGTTTTTTCTGAAACTTGAAGGAAAATGGGGTTTATTTCAAGGAAATTATTCCCAGCATGTGGGAACATGTGCATCTGCTGTCCTGCTATGAGGTCTCGATCTCGACAACCCGTGAAGCGTTACAAGAAATTGCTAGCTGAAATCTTCCCTAAAACCCCAGTAAGTACATTCAATTTAGTTTTCTTGAGGTCTAACTAGGGTCTTTATTTCTTTTAGTTGTGTTTTCATCTATCTGTCCAATTCCTTGCATTCTAAAAGTGGAAGCAGGTGACTTGGAAATTTGAGTTTTCATGGTTATATCATTTGGAGTTCACTCCTTCATAGGAGTAGAAGTCAAACACTAATCCTCTGAACCACTATTAGACATTTGTGTTCCACTGTCTGATGCCGTCGTCCAATATTAGTTTTGTACCTAGACTGCTTTATTATGCTTGAGAAAAGTGGATGGACCCAAATCCAAAAGTATCATGAGTAGTGGCTTGCTTAAGTGCATTTCTGGCAATCATGAATCTGTACTTGTGATAGACAACAGTAAATTACTCTGCATCTTGTGAATGCAGGATGGCTCGCCTAATGATAGGAAAATAGTGAAATTATGCGAATATGCAGCAAAAAACCCTTTCAGAATCCCAAAGGTATTGACTTTCTCTCTGCTTGTGAATTTAAACTTTACGTATAGCATGGAAACAATGATACCTAAATATATGAAAATATTGCATCCTTTAAAGATGTTGTGGTTTTCCTTGTTCAGATTGCGAAGTATCTTGAAGAAAGATGCCACAAAGAACTGCGAAGTGAGCACATTAAGTTTATCAATGTTATTGCGGAGGTGTACAATAAGTTGCTTTGCATGTGCAAAGAACAAATGTGAGTTATTATTGTGCATATATATAACAACCTTGATGAATTATAAGAGTTTAAACCCCAAAATATTCTCTTGTATTACTATCCCGAATATGATAGAGTGAAATTTAGCCCTTTCTTCTTTATACAACCTTACTACGTTTTAGCCATGATTTCCCACTATCGCTCTTTAATTTCTTGAAGCACTTTTTCAGTTAAGGTGTAGCAACTTACTTTCAGAATAAATAACTTAAAAGAGCAGATAAGGTGTGCCATAATTTCTAATCTGATATTAGTTATCATTAATTGAGCTTCCTTACCACCGAGATTTTGTGTTTTATCAATAATCGCAGGTTCACATAATACTTACCATCTAACTAGTTGCATATTAATTCCAACCATCAATAGGCTAGCCAGTCGTTAAGTCTATTTGATAGTTGATACACTAACTGGTAGAGTGATTCTATTATGTAATGGTTTAGATTCTCTTGGTTTGTTAAAACCTGTCCTAGATAACTCTGAGATCATTATATTTTGTGAAATGAAGTCAATTTGGAGTAAGCTTCCATTTTATCTTCTAGGAATGTAATATACTACCAATTTTTGTATCTGCAGGGCATGTTTTGCTGCTAGCCTTTTAGACATGGTTGTTGAACTGCTGGATGACTCTAAGAGAGATGCTATCAGGATTATTGGTTGCCAGACTCTGACCAGGTTTATTTACAGTCAGGTGATTAAGGAAAATATTGATGAATGCAGCTATGTGTTATGTCAATTTCTCTGCTGGGGTTGCAATCTGCAGATGTAATGAGTAGTTGATTAGCATAAATACCTTATACAATTCAATGAGATGTAAAAGAAACGTTCTTGAACATGTCTAGTTGGGTATTCTTCACACCGCGATATCCTGGTTGATGAAAGAAGTGTTGCACGACTTAATTCACTTTAAGAGCTTCTATTGGCTCCAAAGGCGGTATTTGGTATTCAACATGCAATTCCAAAGCATCATAGTAAAGATTAAAGCTAGTGTTGTTTTTGTGCCAATTCCATCTACTCATCTCTATGCATGTCAATCCAGTCCAGTTGCAAAGATGATTGGATTCTTTCCTGGTCAGCTTTACACAAGAACTATCAGTATTGATATTATAATTTGTTGCTATCATGATTTTAGCTGTCTCAGATGACAACTCCAAAAGGATGTAAGAAACGAAAAGCCGATAAAGGAAGAGGACATTAGTTTACCTACACCTTCAGGTTAAATGATGAATTCAGAGTGAGATTATCCTTATTGGGTGTTCATAGTTTTAGGCGCCGGCATGTTATAATTGTTGTTTATTCTTTCTTGAAGTTTCAAATGCTATGAACGTATTTTCATAGTCTAGTTATAGTCATTTTATGGATTGATAGTTTATTTGTCCTGTTTGATTCACCTCGATATGAAGCACTACTGCTAAACTATGTTATTTTGGTAGTGAAAACTTGTGTTATTGAAGCTAAAGCATATAACAATATGTTTGGGTTTGTCTTAATTGTCTAGACGCGTGTCCTACTTTAATTTTCCTGTGTAAAGAGTCTCCTCTTACCATATTGTATTTGTTATCTAAGATTTGTATCTTGTCCATTTTAGATCAACTTGTTTGTAGAATCTTTTTTGCCCAAGAATCTTGTATGTAATATTACTACTTCCTAATTATAGTATACCTGGAGTCATTCTACACCGAAAGTAGATTGCCATTAGGTTTTTTGATGTGTAAAATTACTTACCATCTTTTTCTGGAAGCAGGTAGATGGAACATATACGTATAACATAGAAACTTTGGTTCCCAAAGTATGTTCATTGGCAAGGGAGACTGGTGAAGAACATCAGAACTTGAGGGCATCAAGTTTGCAGTGTCTTTCTGCCATGGTACTGTGGAGTTACCTTTTATGGCTGGAGTTGAAAACAATGTTTTAACAATGGTTTTGTTATTTTGGCAACATTTTGCCTCTTTTGAGAACGTTTTTTTTTTTTTGAGAATGATTTGGCGGCATTGTACCTCATACAAGTTTGCTGAATGTTTAGTTGGATCTGAGCAATTGATTCCACCTTTGCAGGTTTGGTTCATGGCAGAGTTCTCTCATATATTTGTTGATTTTGATGAGGTTAAGAGCTCTCTCTCTTTCTCTCTCTCATGCAACTTGTTCTAGTTCCTTATGATTAAGTTATTGCTTCCCTCTTGATAATTTTACAATGGTTATGGATTCTTCATTTTGCCAGACATATTTCATGACTCTCATAGTGATTTGCTACTAACTTCCTAAGATAGACTATATGTTGTGGATAACATTGTACCCCCCCCCCCCCGGCTGGGGTCCTAGCGAGTCCTCTATCCATTCTCGTTTGTCTTTCAAGCTGATCTGACATAAGTTCTTCATGGCCAACTTTCAAGTGAAAAATTAGACCAGTAAATGAACTGATGTAATGAACTTAGCTGAGCCTGTATAAGCTCGAAGCTGATCTGTTTACTTATTGAACAAAACAGATTCATGCTTATTGCATAGCTCTAGGAAATGAGCTGAGCTTGGTAGATCAGTTCAGCTCTTGCCTCGTTCCTATTTTCCTTTGTGAATATGAAAGGTCCACATAAGAAAATGATTATTTCTACTTACCATATGAATGCCATTTTATTCTGAAAAAAAACTCTTAAGAAGAAGTTTAAACAAACTAATAGATGACTAGCTTCATTAATAAACTCGAACTCAGCACTCGGGTTATCAAAAAATAAACTTGAACTTGAGCTGAGCTCGGCTCATTTGTCTAAACAAGCAGAGTTTAGCTTGAGCATGAGCTTCAATAGATTTACTCAAGCTAAGCTCCTTGGCTCATATGCTAGGTGTGCCATGCTTTTCTGTGCTTGTACTTGTAGCATTAGCCAAACCAAGTTCGAACCTCTAGAAATCAGCTAGGGTTGGCTCATTTGTAGCTCAAGGAAAGTTGTCTTGTTTTCTCATTCCAATTGGTTATTCTAGATTGGCTGACTAGGAAATATCTAACTTGTGGATGTTTTCTTCTAATTATGGTTATCTTTTGTTAACAATTGACAATTACCAGACATCATTGAAGTTCTTTTTCAACTTGTGCAGATTGTTCATGTTACTCTGGATAACTATGAGCCTGAAATCCATAATGAAGACTTTGAAAGAGGGGAGGCACACCACAATTGGGTGGACGAAGTAGTTAGATCTGAAGGAAGAGCTGTTGGTAGTGAATATGGTCCTTGCCACATAACTAGACCCCGGCCTGATAAGAAAGATCCATCTTTATTAACAAGGTTGGTGCCGTTAAATCCAGCAAAAGTTGGCTTCCTTACTAGATAACTGCAACTGCCACCAATGAGTTGATATTTGTTTTTAATCAATTTATCTGCTTTCCTTTCTTTATCTGTCTAACTCAGATTTTTTCTACAGAGAAGAAACTGAAACACCAAAAGTGTGGGCTCAAATATGTCTGGAAAAGATGGCTGATTTGGCCAAAGAGAGCAGTACAATGCGCCGGGTATTAGATCCAATGTTTGTCCATTTTGACCATGGGAGGCACTGGGCTTCCCTACATGGATTGGCTGTGATGGTTCTTTCTGATATGATCTACCTTGTAGAAAGTTCAGGTAATCCACCAATACACTGCTTCTTGGACCTGCTGTCATTATCCATACTGCTCCCAGTATGGACGTGCCTGTGTTTTACAACAACTTTTCCTTTGTCCTTGTCCTCATGATTAAGATTCTTGGTAGTCGGAATTTGCTCATCAATCTATGGTTGTATAACCATATCTCATGTCACTGTAAAGATGTTATTTCTTTGTTGGTTTCCACACTACATTCCTGCTAACAAAAGTTGCTACATCTTCTCTGCAACCTGTATTTCCTTACTGTGTCTTGAAAAGAAGGTGAATAACAAAGGACTGTATGTTTAGTATATTGCTTAAACTGGTGGGTCATAGGTCTGGTATCTGTTATGTCACCATGAAATGCTTTGCCATGACATTGAATTTCTTGTAGTCATAATAATTCTACCGGACATTGATGGCGCAAATATTGGAATTGACTTGATAGCATCTAATTGTTTTCTTAATGCTTGTGGTTCTTCTCAGGGAATCAAGAACTGATTTTAACTGGTGTAATTCGCCATTTAGACCACAAAAATGTGGCACATGATCCTCAAATGATGTCTTATGTCATCCAAACTGCTACTGCTTTGGCTCGACTCATCAGATTAGGAGCTAGGCTCTCAGATGTACGGTTTGTCAGTGACTTGTGCAGATACTTGCGTAAAAGCCTTCAAGCAACTGTCGAATCGGTTCAAGAGCAAGAGCTAAACTTCAATCTTGCACTTCAGACATCCATTGAAGAATGCTTCCTAGAAACTGCAAAAGGGGTAATTTATGTTAACGAATGAAGTATATGATAATGTATTTCTTGATATTAACAGAGTTTTTTCCTCTTAGATTGTTGATGCACGGCCACTGTTTGATATGATGGCAATGATGCTGGAGAAGTTGCCATCTCTTAAAGTGGTTGCCAGGGCTACAATGGGGTCCTTGATCATTCTTGCTCATATGATCTCATTGGCATCTGTCGTTTCACGATGCCAACAGGTAAGAAGCTAGCTTTTGTCATCAGATGTTTTGGTCCTCTTAGATGGCTGGCTAGTATGCTTACATGAAAATATGTTTCCTTCACTTGAGCTTTAATTGCACATTTTCTCATCTTTTAATGAAAACTAATACGTGATGTTGAAAATGCAATGAGAAAGAAAATTCCCATTGATGAATTAAGTATGCGTTCATCTTCTATATCATTTGCTTTTGAAACTGGATTTACTTTTGTATTTAACTATCTTTTAATTCTTGTAGGTGTTTCCTGAAGAGCTATTTGTTCAGCTATTGAAAGTGACATTGCATCCGGATGTCGAAATTCGTATTGGAGGACACCACATCTTTTCTGTTCTCCTAATTCCAAGTTCGAACCATATTAGACATGACATAGCCAACCATACAAGGAAATGGAATGCCAATGGTACATCTACGTTTGTGTCAATTACTGCTCTACTTGAGAAGCTTCGGAAGGAAAAGGATGGAATTAAGTTGAAGGAAGGGTCTGGTAGTCCAGATGATTTAAAGGAGAGGGACATAGTTGACGAAGAACGGAATAAGGGTTGGGCCCTAAAGAATTCTCCAAAATTTCAAAATATTAGTTCTATGATTGATTGCACAGCTGTATCAGTTGGTAGCTTGAATGAGGGTGTAAGTACATTAGTGATATCACATTTTTATTCTAGCTCCTTTTTTTTCATTCCCGCTAATTTCTGGCCCAACTGAACCTCGATTTTTACTGGTTGACACAGGAACCATACATTCTGAAGCTAAACAAGGATCAAATTGTCCAGTTGCTGTCAGCCCTCTGGACCCAAGCCAACATGCCAGATAATTTACCTGCAAATACTGAAGCTATAGCTCAGTCATTCTGCTTAACGCTTATTTCTTCACGTGTTAGGGTGCGCATTCAGATTAAAATAACTCATTTGTAATGCATGTTAGTTTGGGTGGATACACCTTGCATTTTGTAGACCTCCAAACAGTCATTTGCTTTCTCTAAGCATCTTGTATCTAAACTATGCTCATGATTCTTAATCTTCTATTGTTGCAGAAAACCCACAATAACTTAATGGTCCGCTTTTGTCAGCTTCCCCTATCACTTATGAAGTTATCCGTGGACCCTAATAATGGTACGGCACTGTACTGTAGTTTTCCAACTAGTAACGAACTCATTATTGTCTGGTAAAATTACCTTGGAATATTTTCTTTCAGGGTCGCTACCTCCAGCATACCAGCGTTCGCTTCTTGTGTTATCAGCTGCAATGTTAGCATTTACAGCGAAGATTTATCAGATAACTGACCTGAATGTTTTACTCGAATCATTACGGGGTTGTGGTGTGAGTAATCTATGATAAACTTTTCATAAGCTTCATTCTCAAAGTCACAGCTACATTTTCTGATGCTTGGAAAAATTAATGCAAACTAGTGGTCTTATCTTGCCTTTTCATTAAAAGACTCGTAACGGGTAGGATATTCACAACATTATGCAAATAGAATAAACTATTTTTCTGTGTTGGACAAGTTGTGATTGCAACGCTATGGAAATAGAAGAAACTGTTTTCCTGTTGTTGAACAAGTTATGATTGCAACAACATTGAAGTAGAAGAAAGTCTTCTTCTGTTGAGGAACAAGTTACAGAAAATGTTGTTTCATCTCTATTAACATGTTGCTTAACAATTTTGTTGTATCTTTAGCATATTGTACGTATTAATTGCTGCTAATTCCCTTCATGTTCAGGTTGATCCTTTTCTGGGTATCAATGATGATTATCAAGTATACCTGAAGCCTCAGGCAGATGTGAGAGCATATTGTTCTGCAGCTGATAATGAAGCAGCTGTAATATCACTATCAGAATTGCGGAGCAAAATTCATGAGTGCCACGAGATAATAAAGGATATCTTAGTTAAAAGCTTGTCTAGCATTGCAGAGGTACTAGCTGTCTTAAAAATATTATGCATACTACTTTTTTTTTTAACTAACCTCCTCTCCCCAGTCCTAAAAAAAGGAAAGAAATTACGAAATGGATTTATTTAGGTCCTTACTTATTCTCTTGGAATGTGCCTTAGGTTGAGGCAGATGACATATTCAAGCAGCTATCAGAGGATTTCACTCCTGATGATACTTTCATATTTTGTCTACAATCAATGGTTGACATGGATCATGCCCAAATAGGATCACACTCCAGAGATTCACCTTCATTTGATGGGGTATGCTCATCAAGCATTCACATGTTTCTTTGTGATGTGACAATGGTGGTGGATTAGCATTCATCGTGATACTTGTTGCTACATGAATCTCTCCATATTATTCTCTAGTTTTTACGCTGCCACTTTTCTTATTGTTAATATATGCTCTCATCAACCTGAATCACAACCATTTTTATACGTTTGTCGCTTATTGCTGCAGGATTTTTCTCCAAATTCATTTGTAGAGGATGACAAAGTAAGTGAATCCTCAATTGCTGACATCGCCAGATTCATTCCCAAAATTCCTATGTCTCCGTCCCCTTCAATGACTCATGTTGTGAGCATTGGACAGCTTCTTGAATCGGTAATATTCCCTCAACCCCTTATCTTTGTCCTCAAACATGCATCTGTCTATTTGCCTTTGTGTACTCCCATGGATGAGCTTGCTTGTCGAAGTAGAGTATAGTCTAGCCAAAAGGAAAAAATTATTAATTATAAACAAGATTAGGGAGGTGTGACTAATAGTTGATTTGCCTGTTTCTGATAGACTATCTCCATTTTGTAAATGAGAGTGTAAACTATTTCAAAGAAAAGGAAAGTCTTCATTAAAAGAATTACTTACAAGCTTAGGGAGGTGTGACTAATAGTTAATTTGGCTGTTTCTCACAGGCGATCTCCATATTGTAAATGAAAGTATAACTATTTTTAAAAAAAAGGAAAGTCTTTAATAGAAAAATTACATAATGAAGTAACTAGCTATCTGCAACAGTATCTGTCAAATACTGGTTCTGATTTTAGGTGATGCTAAATGCACTTTTCTGCAAATAGATTTCACCTTTATTGAAATCAAAAAATGAGTGTATTTTGCGTTTGTAGCTCTCTCTCTCTCTCTCTCTCTCTCTCTCTCTCTCTCTCTAAAATTTTGAATTCTTGTCTATCAATTCATATTTTGATCCAATGGTCAATGTTTAGCCTATTTTGAACGTCAAGTCTATGTCAGAAATTGCACAAGAAGAATGCAATTTTAATTAGTGGGAGTAAAAATATAAACATGATAGACGTATTATCCTTCTATTTCATGCAACATCCTACGAAGTGAGAAAATGTGAGTTTAAAGCTGAAGCAAAATAGTTAAATATCTGCTCAGTATGGGCCATTAGTTCTTGTATTTGCCAGCAGGCTTGCATTTGAAGTTTGTTCATAAAGTTAGCTTGATATTGATGTTTGTTCATAAAGTTAGTATTTTGCATCTCCTGTCAAGTTAAAGAGATGGATTACAGCTCCTTAGTATTATGCTAGGTGGTCTTGCCTAGTTTCGAAACATTTTTGTGCTTCTTCCATTGTCTGACAAGGGCAAGTTCTGCTCCCTGATTGGAATCTTTTATTTATGACTGCTCGTGGTGTTTTGCCGTAATATTATTTAGTTAGGCTGTATTAAGAATTGAATCTGGACACGCATAAAACTGTCATAGTTTTGGTTAGTCCAAATGATGAGAGCAGACAGATCACAAAGATAATGATTATTAGGGGGTTTGAGAGCAGTATTATTCAGTTAGGTTGGTTTTGTGTTTTCAGGCACTCGAGGTGGCTGGTCAAGTAGCTGGTTCATCTGTCTCCACTTCACCGCTTCCATATGATACCATTGCTGGTCAATGTGAATCTCTTGGCACTGACACAAGAAAGAAACTCTCCAATTGGCTAGCTCATGAAAATCGCTGTACGAATGCAGCTGGCATGGCGTATCCGGCCTTCCCAACAAATGGGCCATCAGCAGTCGCGAAGGTGATACTGTGTTAACTGTCTTCTAACTAAATCTTCATGTTTTTGAATCCTGTGACACTTGTGTATGCTTGGAAACTTGGAGCACAAATGTGTTTTCGTATGATTTTGTTTTTATCAGTTTCCAAGTATGTTTTCAGGAGATATAGCAAAACGACATCCTAGTATAGAAGTTGCTTTTGTTCTTTTATGACTCTTTATTTATGCCCCTTACTACGCCATCATTGTTTTAAGGCGTAACGTTTTGCCTACTTGTATTTGATAACCATATGGGCATGTGTTAACATTTCACAACTTGTGTTTGCTGCAGATACTTGAAGAAGAGGGACCTGTTAGGGGGCCTCCACTGTCAAAGGAACCATGGTTAGCACTTAGGCTACCTCCTGCAAGTCCTTTTGATAACTTCCTTAGAGCAGCTAGAGGTTAGATGCACGCAACCGGTCTGTTTAGTTGTAAATGACAAGTAGCTAGTGGTGACTAGTAGGTTTAGCTCAGTCTTTTGCTTAGTTCTAACCGCGGAGCTGCCACGCCTGAATGTATTGAGTGCTCTATGTTAGTCTTTGTGCGACTTAGTTTGCTGAATCTTTGTTTTAAAGTGCAGTATTACTAACGCATTTCTGGCTGTATCCAGTTCTAACTTATGTTATTATGAAACTGGCTTTAAGACTGCAGCTCCTAAATATGCCCCCCCAAACCCCAAACCTCCCCTTTCTGGTGCTAGATTATGTAAATGTTCATTTCCTCTATTTAGTATTGTAACGTATTTGCATAATTATTTTAATGATGATTTGTTTTGTTTCTAAAATGTAGTATAGTATATAGGAATGCTCAAATGTCCCCGTAAACTCTCGTGCTCGTCATTAGTACTCATCATCCATTAATTACTGCCATTTCACTCAAAATATCGTAAAGGGCCAACTCATAATTGCTAGGAGCTCATCATATACAAAAGAATTATATATAACCAATGCATGTACTTCTGCCAATTAATCATTGTGTTTAAATGTTAATACCAAAATGATGAAATTTCAACTACATTAGTATATGATATCTTTAAGATTCAGGCAATAACTTTGAGATTCGTATCTAACATGTCTAAGTCATGAAAAATATAGAATAACAATTCCTTTAAAGAAATAAGCAAAGCAAATCAGACAGGATAATACTATACATGCTGTCAGTGCAAAGAATACTATGGTAACGCGCACGATGTGATCATATGGAAACCTGAAATATGACAAATGGCAAATGCTACCAACTTTATATATCTGCGATAATTTCATCTTATATATGCACGTACTCGCAACAATCAAGAAACCTTTGACTTTGACAAACTAATGTTGTGTTGTATTTATTTCGTGGGCATGAATAAAATTTGAGGAGAAATAACGAAAATGAAGTTCTTCTCTTGTATTTTTGTGCTGTTAAGTCTCTTTGTCTCCATTGTTATTGCTGTAACGGATCAGAAGGTAGCATACAACGTGAGCAGTATTATTCCGGCAGTTTTTGTGTTCGGCGATACCGTAGTTGATACAGGCAGCAACAACTGGTTTCGCACGCGGGAACATCCTACATCATGGGAAGAATTTCGAGGGAGGAAAGCCCAATGGCAGATTTTGTGATGGAAAAGTTCCCTCTGACCTTTTTGGTACCAAGAATTTACCACTTTAATTTCCTCCTTGTTTTTATATGCTGACATGGTTTAGTTCAGTTTGGATGTGGCAGTTGGGTCAAATTTGAGCGTGTTAAAACATGTCAAATCAATAATGCTAGCTCAAAGTTTGCTTGGGTCAATATGAGTGGGTAACACGTTTCGATGGATCAAATAACAAGTCATAAACTCAACTTTAGGTCGTCCGACATGACTAAGCTCCCCTCTTTTTTTGAAATAGCTTTTTATTAAAAAAATGTAAAAGCTACTCATATGTAATTTTTCTTAGATTAGGAGCTTAACTTCTTCCAAATTTACATAACTCTCCATCTCAAATTTTGATTTTTGGATGCTTGAGTTTGGATTGCATTTTGACCCACTGATTTACATTATTTTGTATCCAATATTAAATTTTGAGTTGGTTGGACTAGTTGCTAAAAAATGAGTAGATCACGAATTTCAGTTTTATATAAGTAACAGTTTCCTTGATTATATTTGTTATAAATAGTGGAAGAACTGGGAATAAAGGAGCTCCTGCCTCCATATCTTGATCCAACGCTGCAAGCTAAGGATCTCATAACTGGAGTTTGCTTTGCTTCAGCAGCCTCTGGATATGATCCACAAACAAACGCTTTCTTGGTATAGTTTCCTTTTCCTTTTATCCTTAAAGAATAAAGGTGAGGAGTTATCTTTTTTCTATATTTTTTTATTGATCTTTTTTTTCTGATTGATGAAAATGCAGCCAGTTTTATCAATCCCAAAACAGTTAGAGTTGTTCGAAGAATATATCGAAAAACTTAAAGCTATTGTTGGACAAGTTAGAGCTTTAGAAATATTAAGCAACAGTCTTTTTATAGTAATTACCGGCCAGGTTGACATTCAATTTAATCCAGCTTCCTCTCTAAACCCATCGTACAACCAGCTCTTGGTCAACTTTGCTTCCACTTTTTTGCCGGTAGTTTTAATTTACATACACTTAATTTAATTATTTTATGGTTAAATTAGCTACTAAACTGAAACTGTTTGATCTTTGCTATTTGAATTTTTATTTTTGAAAGGGCCTGTACAAGTTAGGGGCACGCAAAATTGGTGTATTTGGTGTAGGACCAATAGGATGCTTACCATTTTACAGAAATACGCAAGGAGGAATTCAAAGAAAATGTGTCGATTCTCTTAATCACAAAGCATACTCGTTCAACAACAAGCTCTCGACTGAGATAAACTCTCTTATTAACACATTTCCTGACGCTAAAATGGTCTACATTGATTTCTACAATTTCATCCTTGATCTAATCAACAACCCTACAAAATATGGTAATTACTATGGCACCACCCATTTGTTAATCTTTAATACTACGTCCGTTTCAATTTGTATGAATCTATTTCCTTTTTAATTTATGCAAAAAAAAAGACTCTTTTCCTTATTTGGAAACAATTTATCTTTATGCAATGATTTAGAGTCACACAAAATATATATGCCTCATTTTATACCACAAGTTCAAAAGTCTTTCTCTCTGTTTCTAAAGTCTTTGTGGTAACGGGGGCAGAACTCGGAAGGCTGGTCAAGGTTGTGTCCTTCCGAGTGAACGAGGTCGACCTTTCAACATCAGAAAAGACTTCTCTTCATCACGAGACTAATCGGATCCGCCATAGACACCCGAGAGATCTTTACAAGGCAGACTAAAATAAAAGACTAAGAGGTGCCGCAAGCGAGCAAAGAGTTATACTTTCATTTCTTTGTTGAGATTGAAATCAAATTAAAAGGTTAGGTATAATGCACGTAGGCCAAGTCAAGAAATGGACTTGCCCAATCAAATGAATTCAAATAAATTAAAACGGATGGAGTACTAAACTATCTTTAATCTTCTACAGCCAGCTACTACTTGACAGGAACTTTTGTGAACTATCATTCCTAATAGCTAATCGTTACACAATTCATATCGTTCTTTTATTAAAATGAAATTGGAATACAAAGTTTAATTTCATTTTATTTGATTTGCTGTGGCAGGGTACAAGATTGCACAAAATGGGTGTTGTGCTCTTGCTGGAAAACTAGATTTGCTAGATTACTGTCCCACCGCATGTTCAAATGATTATGACTATATTTTTTGGACGGTTTCCATCTTACAGAGAAAGGCTATAGACTCCTAGTCCGTCAAGTTCTCCTCCAACATCTTCAAACCTTCATCTCATGACCAAATGATCGATTCATATACACAAGCATGGTTCTACTTTCCTCTATTTGGTTACTGTTAGAATATTAGTTGGGCTTAGTTAGGGTTTGGTTGCATTTGGGCTTCATTATTTATATTGGGTTGTAGTTGGCTTTGTATCATTTTTCTTTTTCAACTTATTCTTTGTAAATGGATCTTACTTAACTAATAGAAGGTTTTAGAGAGAGTGAATCGGTCATTTTTGCTAATTCAATTTTTCTCTCTCTATTGTGCGACGATCTTCTTCTCTTTCTCATTGTCCCCAAATTCGAATCTCATTGGATTCTAACATTGTATCAGAGCCATGGAAATCACCTTGTTTCCGATTGTGTCTTTGATTTCCTTGGTTAATTCTCCTTAATTTTTTTTTTGTTTTGTTTCTGGATCGGGGAAATTCTCAATTTCGTTGCTGTTTTTTACCTAATTTTGTTTGCCATCAATTTGACCTTCTCCTTCAGTTCACGTCAAGAGATTGATCGAATTCCTTCATATGAGAATCAGCGGTTCAATTGTTTTGGTATTTGAGGCGTTTTCGAGGAGTTCCGTGGAGGTATTTCACAGAAAATTATGACGGGAAGTTGCTGTTGTTTTTAGGTGTTCTAAGTGAATTGATAACATCTCATTTTTTTAAAATTCTCTGATTGTGTAGCACTTTTTTTTTTGCGATGGGTGATACAAGTGATCATGATGAACAAATTAACCAGAATCCATCTCTAAATTTCCAATTTGATGATGAACCTGTTTCCCCCTTCACATCCTTTCTATTTGCATCCCTCTGATAATCCTGGTATTATGTTAGTTTCCAAACAGTTTGATGGTACATGCTTTGGTACCTGGAGGAGGGGAATCATTATCGCACTTTCTACGAAGAAGAAAACAGGGTTTATTAATGGTAGTTATGTTCGACCTCATATTGAGTCCCCACTCTTTGATCAGTGGGAACAGTGTAATCATATGGTTATTAGTTGGATACTCAATTCTCTAGACCCGGATATTTCTCAAAGTGTCATATATTCCAAAACTGCCAAAAGACTTTGGGATGAATTGAACCAGCGGTATGGACAGTCCAATGGTGCTCGAATGTACGAAGTTTAGAAGGATTTGAGTTCAGTTTCTCAAGGGTCATCTGACGAGAGTGGTTAGTTCAACAAAGTTAAAAGACTTTGGGATGATATGGAGTCCTTAAACACAGATTCTTACTGTATTTGTGAGTGTACTTGTGGGGGTAAACATAAGATGATGAAAAGGGATCAAAACTTGAAACTAATGCAGTTCTTAATGGGCCTCAATGAAATCTTCAACAATGCTAGGGGAAACATCTTAATGATGGAGCCTATTCATGTTGTGAACAAAGCGTATTCTTTGGTTATTCAAGATGAGAAACAAATGGGCTTTCAAAATCTTCCTGTGTTTCAATCGGATTCGGCTTCCTTTTCTGTTGGATCTAACTCCAAACCCAAACACTCCTTCAACAATCCAAGAACTAATTTCAATACTCAACCGCAGAAGTATCATTTCCCTACTCTGAATCAATATCAAAGGGGAAATTCTGATGGATAAGGAATCTCAGATCCTCAGAAACTGTTTTGTAGGTATTGCAAAAAGAATGTGCATCTAATAGAAAAGTGTTATAAACTTCATGGCTATCCACAGAACTTCAAATTTGGCAATAGAAACGCGAGAGTTGCTACTAATGTGTATTCCAATCCTGAAAGCAAAGTTGACAATTTCTCTGAGAATCCCACTTCATCCACTACCATAACCGCAGACCAATACAAGCAGCTAAGGAACATCCTTCAACAAGTGCAAGTTGTAGATGAAGGCCAGAATCAGTACCCCTCTGCTTCTGCAAGTTTCGCAGGTATTCTTGCTTGTTTCTGTCACATGAGTTATGCAACTTGTTCGTGTTTAAAGTCTCATTTAAATCCTGGTTCTTGGATTATAGACTCTGGAACAACTGACCATATGACCTCTGATAAAAGTTTACTTACCAATATAGCTAACTTACCAATTCTCATCCTTGTCACACTACCTAATGGATATAAAGTGAAAGTGACCTCTATTGGTACTGTACATACTAACTCATTAGTTACTCTTTCTAAAGTACTCTATCTGCCTACATTTAAGTACAATCTTATTTCTGTCTATAAGCTCATTCTTGACACTTCATTACTCCTAACTTTCTCCTTAATCGCATGCTTCCTACAGGGCCCTTCTCTGAAGAAGCCATTCGTACATGGTAAGCTGGCTAAAGGGCTTTATCTCCTCAATTCCGGCTCCACAGGACCACAATCTGATTGTTCCACGGTTCCTTTTTCACTTTCTGTTCATGTAAATAATGTCAATATGAATAAGTCACACATTTTGTGGCATAATAGGTTGGGTCATCTTCCCTTTTCCAAATTACATAAAATCACTTTTATCAATGTTCCATCTTGTGATAGACAACCTTTCATTTGTGATGTGTGCCCACTTGCTAGACAACAACGAATTCCTTTCCAAAATAGTCAGTCACATGCTTTAAATATTTTTGATCTTGTCCATGTGGATATATGGTAAGGGTGTTTAACGGGTAGGCCGGGTCGGGCTGGGTTAGGATTTTTTGGACTCGTACGGGTTATGGTCCGGGCCAGTTACGGGTTGGGGCTTACCGGATTTAACAGGTTCGGGTTCATCCGAGTAAAAATTGAACCGTAAGGGTTACGATTTGAGGGGGTCGGGTCGGGCCGGGTTTAGTGTATTTTTTTATTTTTTTATTTTATATAACTATTGTAAGTTAAATTAATACTTTGTATTAATATAAAGAATACAAGGAAGATGGGAAAAAATTGCACTTATAAATTGCAAGTGCTATATTTATTTCAAAATTCAAACTTACAAATTGAAAGGTTTATATTTAACAACAAGTAAATTAACCAAAAAAGAGTAAATTCAAAGGTTTTGCATTGCCTTAGTAAGTTCTTCATAATCAATATGAACTGAGTGGCCTTCTTCTGGAGTGTTAAATTCGGATGGGTTACCATGTGTTAATATGTCTCCAAGTTCCTCATCTTCTGGGCTATCAACATCTTCACATCCTTGATTTCTTCGTTCCGATCTAATCCAATCTCTGAAACATACTAAAACTTCCAAATCATTACTTCCTAACGAGTGACGGGTGTCTCCAAGTTGTTGTCTTGCTTGGCTAAATGCACTCTCTGATGCAACAGTTGAAATTAGCACATTTAGTACGTCCCGAGCCATAGCGAAAAGAACAGGAAATTGCTTTCCATTCTCATGCCACCATCCCAACGGTGAAAATTCCTTTGTGCGAGGCTCTTTTTGCTTCTGCAAGTAGAATTGAAGTTCATCAATGTTCCTGCTACTGGTTTGAGTGTTAGAAAATGTAGAAAAAATATTAAAACTATCAAG